AGAACAAACTAGGCTTCTGTAGTGGCATCCCCACTAGAGTGTTAGTGCATTATTAGTGTGTTAGCATATTAGTGCTGGAATACAGAAAATTGAGGCAGTGCTGCCCTCAAGCCTAAATGCCTTGTTTGGTTTAAGATACTTGCTGGAGGGTTCTAGTGGAACAGTGTGTGTCTCTGATCTTGGGTGAAAATAAACAGGTTTTAGTGTATGAATCTGACAGGAAGGTTACTTAAAGATGCTTGTCAAGGAGGTTGAGATGCATGTTGCAGGCTATTCTCCTTTTATTGAAGAACACGCTTAAAGTCTGTTGTTGTTTTTTTAATGTCCTTTTTAAATAACATAACTTCTGAAAACAACTGAAGGATCATTAAAAGCACTTTTTCATCAAAATAAGTTAAACGTGAATATGGGAGATGTATGCCTACTATTAAACAGCCCAGGTTTTATGTTAACAACAGCAAAAAAATGCTGTGCCATCCTTCCCATCCCTCCAGTTGCATTTGGGAGTTGTTAATCTCACTGGAAGTTGGTGTCTTTTGTGAGAGATGTTTTGTGCTGTATCTGATGGGTATGTTCTGCATGAGAGCAGATACTGAATGTGTGTGGTATACCTGACTTCTAATTCACAGAGGGCTGAAAGATGCTGTGAGGCTTTGTGACTTCCCAAAGGCTCTAGTGCAATGTGGAGGAAATTAATAGCCCCTGAATTGTCTGGCCAGTAAAATATCTGTGCTGTGGTTATTGCGATGTAGTGTTCAGAATTGTGTTAGTGACTGAGTGTGCTGACCTAGTGGAGCAAAACACTCAAATTCAAAAAGTGCTAAATGAGAGGTTAAAGTATTCCCCTGGATTAAGCCAGAACATGAAACCTGTTGCAGCACTGAGCCAGGAAGGGAAATAAAAACTATTGTGTATGTTTGTACTAGGAGAGCCAAGGAAGGTGCTGTGTGTATGTCCTGATATTTTCTGGTGCTTCAACTGCTTCTACCATGGCCCTAAGTCAGTGATAATAGAAGGGTGCTGCCTGTGCCAGGCACCTGGTTTTTATGTCAAAATCCGACACCTCTCACTGGAACTACTGCAACATCTGTGCAAAACTCTTCTGATTGCCCCGGTAGCCCTGAATACCTCACAAGCGCGAAAAGTTGAGTAACAAGTGAGTGTTGAGTTGGTTTGTTTGTTAAAGAAATAAGTGATATTTGGTTGCTATTCCTCCCCCACTTCGGTGCTTATGTTGAGCTGTTTCCTTCCAGGATATGTCCATTTCCTGCAATTAATGAGAATTTCTAGATCTATTTGCATTTCCCTTTTTATTTATCTCTTGCCAAGCTTCTCAGAGCAGGGTCAAATTTTACAGGACTTGTTTAATTTAAAGGGTTAATATTTGTAACTTGATCTTTTAAAAGGCAGTCCAGATTACTGTCTGCAGTTACTTTCAGCCAGGTGAGGAGAGCTGATGCTTCTTCTGCTGAAAGCAAACAGTCCTTTGCTGTTAAGTAGTAAAAATGTCTGAGTGATTTCCTCGAGGTGAAAGCTCCTCCACACCTGTCTTCCACCTCCTCTTGAAGTTTAAAGAGCTTAGTGAGGAAATGCTATTTACTGCTATGATGTTTCATCTGTTCTGACATGTAACATTTCCCTCAGCTTTGTCCATGGTGTCAGCTTGGACTGCAGTCCCTGGAGTCAAATATAATCCATACACGGTTTGTTGTGAAGGGCCCTTTTCTAGGGCCCTAGTCTTTGAGCACTGCTACTTAAGTGCATTTCTTGCAGTTCTAAATAATTCTGTTAGAAGTAGTGCAGGATCCTGACACTAATTTTGTTCAATAAAAACTTGAGTATAAGACAACCTTTTCATCTTCTTGGATGCAGCATGTGTCCCTGTATTTTCTGTAGTTTTGGCAAAGGATATGGTTTACTTGACCTGTTGATATCATGTACTGTCCTATCTTTTTGGGCTCTTTTCTTTTTTAGAAGGCTGGTCTTCCCTTCAGTGCTTAATTGAATGGTAAATTTGATATATTCAGGACTGCCTGGCATAGTCTCAACTTGAGATTGGTGCAGACTAGACACACTGAAGAGTGGGAAGGTGTTAGGGCATTGCATAGGTGGGGCTTCTGTTTTTTGTTTTTAAAACAATCTAGATGAGAACTGCAGGGCTCCCAGATCATGTGAGCATGCAAAGAGTTTTGGGCTCTTGTAATTTACTAGAGAGGATAAGGCATTAACCTTTCATTCTGATTCATCTTTCCAGTTTCAATCAGCTGTAAAACAAAGTAGGTCAAACAGGCATTGAGGTGTAATAATATCGGATTTTATCCAAGACTGAAGGCCCAGCAACAAAAGCATAATCTCTTCACTTAAAATTACACAAAACCTCTAGCTTTTGAAAATCAGTAACAATAGTATTACTGGTTGCTGGCTGTAATTTGCTTATGTTATAGATGGCAGCATGTGCATGGAGCTGAAAGGAACAGGTGTCCTAATAAAGTACATGATTATTCACGATTTCCCTTCTTTTTTTCTTAAAGTTCGAATTTCAATTTTCACACTCCTTTCTCTGATACTTCTCAGATTAGCTGCTGAACTGCTGAATACTTTGAAGTGTGTAAGAAGGACTTAATTAAATGCTTGATAAAATACCACAGTGGAACATGTGAAGTAATGGATTTTTAAGCACAGTATTGGTTCAATTTTCCCGCAAATTTAGACTGCCTGGGATTGTTGTGAGGAAGCTGAAGGGTGGAGGGGATTCGAGCACTAAAAGCTTTTACATAAAGTTGAAATACTGTCTTCGTCTGCCACAAGGGGTTTTTGTGTGACATCTCCGTAGGATGCTGGAAGTTTAATTTGTCTACACTAAGCTCAGATCTGAAGTGATGGAGTCTGCATTTATATGTAGATATTTTGAAAGACAAAAAGGTGGGTGGGAGGGGAGATGCATGAAGAGCACAGAATGTAGTCTGAGATGGCCTCTTATCTAGGTAAAAAGGGAAAAAAACACTGAAGGTGGTACAGTTCTTTGAAAGAGTAAGTCAAACAACCTAGTGTAAGCCAAAGTCATTGAGAAGGTTGGAGACCTGGCTGGAATTCTTGTCCTTTGTGGGAGATACATGTGAATTTGCTGCTCTTTTTGAGTGTGCAGGAACAGTGGTAACACAATAATCTGAATTTGTTTTTTCATTTGCATATCAGTGGATGTATCACAAATCAGTAAGGGCTGCTGCTGGCAGTGCTGATCTAGGCAGTGTAACAAGTTTGTTTAAGCAGTTGTTCTGTCCAACTGATTGGTCATTGTTGAATGAGGGGAGAAAATAAAGGATAAATTGCCCTTCCTTATCAGAAAGTATTTGGATCTTAAATTTTCACTGGAGTTAATGAGGGGAACTGCCTGACATCCTTTCTTGAGACATGATTGTGTGAGGTTTGTCTCTGTTCTAACATACTGAATCTAGATGCTGTGCAAGGCTGGAACTTCTCCAAGGGCCTGATTAAGACTTGTCTAACAGAACTGAAGGGTGCTTAAATAATGGGAAACTATAATTTTCAGGACTCGGAGAGATATGGTCACAGCAGGGCTGAAAAGAGTAGGACTAGATCATGCAGTGAATCCTAGACTGTTCCTTACTGCTGTATCTTCTAACAGTTATAATCATTGGTCTCTCAGTGTTGTAAGACCGTGTGGTTTGTGCTAGCACAGACAAAACCAGTGGGGCTGTTTCAGAGACTTGCACCATTTGTTTCTGCTCTGCAAGGAAACACTGCTGGTTCTACCCTAAGAGCACTGTCTTGGCAGTTATCTTTGCCCTTCCCTTTGAGTCTGTGTGGCCAATTTGAAGATCAGCAAAAGCCAAATGCATCAGCTGTATTCTACTATCAGACTGTTCACAAACACACTTAACCTTTCTGACCTATTAATTAAACTGTAATCTGCTGCCTAAGCATAGGAACACTTACCAGCAAGTTTCAGAAGAGTGATTTTGTTACTGGAAGGCATAACACTGCAGTCTGTCTGTGCAGAAGGATTGTTACTGTAGGGGAGAGAACAGCATGACATTAGTAGCAGAATTAAATTGGTAGCATACTCCCCAGCCTACTGCAGAGAGGCACACAGAGCGCTCTGAATTTTCAAGTTCCTATTAAAAAATAGTATAGTCTAATTTTTTCTTTGTATATCGTATTCTTGCCTGCATAAATAATGTGTCATAGAGGAGTTGGCTTTTAGTGGTTTCTCATGAGCAGTGCAATAATTTTATCTGAAAGATCAGTTTGGCACCTTTCTTCCACAGCTGAAAGACTGATAACACAAAACAGGAAGGAGTTAGTCTCTTTCAAAGAACTGTGAAAAGCCTCCTATAGATAAGCTTTCCCTTTATTTTTCATCTACAGGCATTTCTTTTTCCTGTTCTAATGGCAACAACTTTACAGTATTTGTTATTCTTCCAACAGGAATTCTTAAAGATTTGGTGCAGGTCATGTACATACGATTTTTCTAGAACATGCAACATACAGAGAGCTACATGATTGCCAAAGTTACTGTGGTTTCTACTTTTCACTTTTTTTGTCAATTGGTGTGACTTGTATCAACATCACACAAGTGGTATCTTGGTTTTATATACTTTTGCCCTGGATTAAGAACCATGGAGATCTTGTTGTAACTCTGGTTCTGTACCTTTAATGGGTATTTTTGTTCATTATTTGGAAGCTTATTTCAGATTTCAGGTTATGATCAGTGGTTAAGATCTGTGAGCTGTGGTAGCTGGGGCAATATTCTTGATTCTGTTTAACCAGAAACAAAAGTAGAGAATAAGAAAAAGAATAATAATTAAAAGTAGGAAGTTCATAATAGTAAATGGAGCAGGCTTTACTGTTAGTCAGTAGCTCTGGTTTAGGCTCCTCATTTTGCTTCAGAAATGAGAAGGTAATGTACTTTGCTCTCCACAGAGGGTGCAGCTCCCTGGAGATGCCTGTGTGCACTGGCTTGGTGTCTTGCAGCTGACATGGCTGGCGCCAAGGTGGGTAGCAAGAAACAGAGGAGCTGTTGCAGGGAGTCAGGAGATACTGTATGTTTGACCTCTGGGACAGAACAGATGACTGAAGTTGAAGAGCTCTGACATGGTAGAAAACCAGATTCAGTTAACATCTCCCTTCATTTCAGAACCTGAGGCATAGTTACATCAGTGCTTCATTTTCATTGTCACAAAGCTTTGTGAGTTGTTCTAAAGTACCTTGATGAATGCCACTTTTGTTCTGAGAACTCATTGTTATTAGTGTGACTTATTACCATGTCACTTCACTTGCTAACTTTTCTGCTGCTGACTTTTTTCTCCTGACTGCTTGTCAGTTCATTACTGCCTTTGTATCAGTGGGAAAGCAGTTTTATTGAGGAGAAATTGGACAGAAAAAAACCCATGTGCATGGAATTTCATGCCATGTTGAACACCAAACTATCTGATGTGCTATTGTGATGAAGATAAATGCTGAGCAGACTGGCCTGTGCCAGCTGCTGCTTCAAGGGAGCTGAAGGAAGTGATCCTTTAACATTTTATTCCTCTCCAATCGCTGTTTGGCTGATTTACTTCAAATGGCCAGTGAAAGCCAAACGTTCATGTGGTTGCTTAAAAGCTTTAGTTTGGGTCTTGTTTGCCTAGCGTCTCCTTTAGGGATGGCACCTGAAGTGCCTTTGCTCAGCCCAGTTACAAAACCTTCCGAACCACGGCTGAAATCTCTTCTCCTGAGCCCTGGTGCTCAGCGGCGCCAGGTGAAGCGGCCAAGTCACTGGTGCTGAGCTGTGTCTGCAGGGAATTAATGGCTGGTGTCTGGAGCCTGCCTGTCTTTCAGATTGCCGAGGAAGATTTGTCGTTTTTAACACCACTTAAAATGTTTACACTGATTCTCTTGGTTTGTCAGGTCTTGACGCTGGTAGGGGGTGGAGGCTTAAAAATTGTCTCCACCCTTAAGACCATGTCTCAGTCCAAGCGTCACTTGTCAGGTTTTGAGATGAAGTGGTGATCTCTTTAAATGCCGTGCTCTGCCTTTCTGGAGGCTCCTTTGTGGAGAGTCACTGATCAGTATGTTGAGCAAAGCTTGTTAAGTAATTTCCGAGACACCTGTGAGCCTGATGGGCTGCTGCCTTTAGCATCTCAATGCGGCGATTGCTCTGTAGCCCAAAGCAAAGCTCTTGGAAGTAGGTACGGAAGAACAGGTCGAAGATAAGCAGAAGCAGCATATGAAAGGACAATTCCAGCAGACAGCAGGACTCCCAGTTTTTCGCTGTTGCTTTACTGGAGATGGGGGGAGGGGGGCAATAATTGTGGAAATTATTTATTCTTGCTCCCAAAATATTCATGGGGTTTTTTTTTCCCCTATGGAGTTGTATTTGCTGATCCTGCATCACTATCCCCAAAGCAACAAAGGCATTTCTTTTTCATTCAAAGGAATATTTTTTTCTTGATGAGCTCATGCTAAAGAACCCTGTGGGGGTGGGAAGGGTAGCACATCCGCAGCCGTGCTGGTGGCTCTAAGCCTTGCATTGTTAACTGTCTACTACTCGCTTTCCTTTGACAGGAAGCTCATCGCGTGAGCCTGATCTGTCAGTGTAAAAGCAGTCATACTGAGCTGCTTATTAGCTCCCTCATGCTATGTGGTGCAGGGCAAGCTCTTGCCTGTACACAGATAACTACCCTGGATCAATGAATACCTAGGGACTTGAGCTTGTAAGACACCACAGCACGTGGTTCTGTGCCTCCTGACATTAATCCTGAAGTTTAACCTTGTCTCTGCTGCCAAGTCTTGTTGCACAGAAGCTCAGTGTGGGTTTTCTGGTCAACAAAATAAGAATGCCTTTCATTCATGCCCTTTGCTAGAAACCAATTTAAAAAAAATGTGTATATATAAGCAGATGTCTTACAGGGCAGTAAATGTCTGTGTTAAACCAGTATCAGAACAATTCAATTGGCATAATTTCAGTGTTTTGAATTTTCTAGCACAGTGGGCTGAGTAGGGGTGGTTCTGGCTTCTGAGAATCTTGAAGTGTGGATGCAAATCTCTGGATCTCTTTCCTTCTGAGTCTCTGATCCTCACCCACTGAACTGTAACATTTAGACATGTCAGTTGTTTTGGTTGTTTTTTTTTTTTACTAAATGTATAACTGGTTATTTCTTGCATTTGTTGTTATGGTCTAAAAAAAAAATTTAGTCTATAATTATGTATGGTGACCGCAGAGTGTATCTTCTAATTTTGCTCAGAGATTTAGGTGTTGAAACAGGAAGGACATTTCAAAATATAAAATTTGAAGCTCCTACCAGTCACCAAAAAAAAAGTATTCTGCAGACAAAATTGCCACCTGATCCTATGGTAGCTTGGGCTTTGTAAACACGTAATTTTTTTTAAATGCTGCTGTTTTAACTGATCTAAGCACTGAGTTTTAAACCATTTCAGCTCAAACATTTGTGTTATGAGTATGCTATGAATTCCTACTCTGAACCTGTGTATGTCAGTTGTACTGACAGAAATCTCTGTACATAAATAAATCAAATTTATGGGAGTTTTCTGAGTACAAAACAATGGGGGGGAACATGTTCCATTGTCTCCCTGCTTTATAAATTGTTACTGGTGGGTGATTTCTTTATAATCCTCCAGTGAAGGCTGTCCCAGGTTTCAAAGGGCTGTTTGCCTGTCCACAGCGTGTGTCTGTTCAGTCTGGAATGTGTTTATTCATTGACTTTCTTTAGGAAGGCCTGGGAAGCAATCATCCGGAACAGTGCTCGCCTTGCTGTCTTTGTGAGCTACTGCTCGCTGCTCGTTCGGGAGCCTCCCTGCTTTCCAGTTATGTGCACCCCTCTGAGCCTGATTGTGGAGCTATTTTTTCCTGATAAGTTGAACCTCCTCGTGGAATGTCTTCTTCCAGGGGATGAAAGGAGCATGGGCAGCCACGGTACTGGCTGTGCAGGGTGGTGCCTCTCCTCTAAATGGGGTAGATAGTGCAGATACTTCCTCTTAACACCCTTTTATAAAAAAAAAAATAATCCTGATTGATTTAGTAGAATTAACTGCTATGTATTGCTGAGTATTCCACTATGCAACACATCTATCCTGGAGCACTGTACTACTGCTGTTTTATTTTCAAATGTATGTAAAACAAAAATGATGTATTACCTTGGCAAATGACTTGGAGGTACACCTTGCTGAAATAGTATCTTTCTAATTTCTGCCTGTTGAAATATAGTCAGCCCACTTTAATTCCAGTCTGGCCACGGTAACTGCATTAGTATATGACCATGTCTAAAGTGAGAAGGTATCAATTTTTAATTGTCATTAGCTGGTTGTAGATATTCCCAAGGATCTTAAGTCCTTCCCTTAACCTACTCCTCACTTAGTAACTACAAACTTGTGTGTAAAAACCCTTGCAGGTAAAGATCTAGCATAGACCAAAAACTTACATAATTCATATACTGCATGTGAAATACAGTCTGTCAGGGTTTTTGGGCTTTTATAATGCTGGCATGGTTTACTACAGAAAATACTAGAATTTGCTAATAATTTTCCTTTTTTTTTTTTTCTTGTTAATGTCTACTTTTTCTCTTGCTGCAGCCATGCATCATGTGATTATTTTTTAAAAAAATGTTAAATAGTTGTTGTTTATTCTAAAGACCTACCCATTTTTTTTGGCAAAGGATGTAGGAACTTGGGCAACTGAGGAAGGGGTAATAGAGAAATGTATCTTGCCATTCTTGCCTATGAAACTCTGTTAAAACCTTATTTAACAGTCCAGTTTGGGTGAACAAAATGAAAGTCCTTCAGGAAAAATTTTCATGGCCAGGAAGTATATACTGTAGAAAGTAACAGCAAGTTGTTCCTGAGTTAAACTGTAATTTACTGTGTTGGACTATGTTTAATGCTTGTGAGGAAAGTGTGTGTATGACTGAAGAATTATAAGTCAACTGACTGTCAAAACATGCAGTAATCCAGCCCTGATTTCTGTGTCCCTCGCCGTGCTGGAGCTGCATGGCACTTCCCATAGCAGCTGGTGGGTGCTGAGTGGGGATTCCAGACACTGGCGCGGTGTTTGTTGTAGTACCTCTTTATTCTCTCTTCCCCTTTCCTGCAGGAGCTGAAGTTGCCCGTGTACCAGGCTCATTCCCCACAGATTGGGATGCGCCGGTACTTCATTGACCTCCTGAGTGTGCTCAGCACCCGCTGCAACCTCTGCCCCACGGCCCGGCACCTCGCCAGCTACTTGTTGGATCTCTTCATGGATCGCTATGATATCACTGTCAAGCAACTGCACGTGGTTTCATTTGCCTGTCTTCTCCTAGCAAGTAAGCTGGCTGCTGTCTATTTAGGCTTTTTTTTTGTTGTTGTTGTCTGAGCAGATGGTGGTTTTCCTTAGAGATCATATGCTGTTTTCCCAGCTGAAGAAGTGTTTTCTTCATTGACCAGAGAGATTTTTCTGAGGGGTCAGGAAAGCTTCAGGCTGGTGCAATAGAGGGGGGAAAGACTAGGACTGTTGTGTAAATGGTTATGAAACTGTACCCTTAATTTCAGACACGTTAGAGTGAATGAAATACCAGGTTCAAGTAGCCTGGAGACTGATGCTGCTCAGAGGGGTACTCCTTCAGCTTTCAGACCATCTCTTTTTCTCTCTTTGGATAACCTGATAACTACAAGATATCTTGCAGCATTGCTAGTTTTTGGTGTGGGTTTTTTTTTAAGGTTGTTTTCCTTGTTTGTGTTTTGTGTTGTGTTTTTTTTTTTATTATTATTTTCCCAAGTGCATGGATGAATGTTACCTTCAGGAAAAGGTAATAGGATTTTCTTGAGATAAATCTGACACTTTGAATTGTACTCCTTCTTCATTTTTCTCCAGCATAAAATTGATGCTTCAACAGCTCTTCTAATAACTTTTCATTTGGACTTAGAGGAAGAATTCATAGCTATGTTTTGTTTCCAGTGCTACTCCAGATAGGATGAAAACAGAACTGTCAAAAATTTCATGAATTGGTATGAGTTAAATGAGTTGGTGTTCTGGTAAGATACTGCTTGGGCAGAGGTTCACTATATGAGATTGGGCGAGCTGGACTTCTGACTTCTGTAGCTTTTAGGATTTAAAAAGAAGCAAAAAAACCCTTCAGGACTTTCTTTACGTAAATGACTGAAGTAAAATGCAATTTTAAAGCCACCTCTATGCAACTGTGAAGCAAAAGGAAGTGTACAAACTGCCCTATGATAACACTAGAGGGAAATGTTTTGCAACTGCTGCCTGTTTAAAAAAAAAGGCAATTTACTATAAAGAGCAAGCCTAAGTTTAGTGAGCATGTGAGAAGCTTTCTAAATCTAAGATTGGAGCAATGCAGGAGCATGTATACATCCTGATATGGACTTAAATAATCCCTTGCAGGAAGGGGAAAAAGTCTATTACCATAAAGGCAGCTTTCCTACCAACATGTAGAAACAAAACATTGAACATGGAACCAAAGCAGCTTTGTACAAAATTAATTCCTAATGAAATCATATAGATAAGGTTCAAAATGCTAGGGCTCAGTTTGGAGACTTTTAGGATCATAATAAGCTGTTGTTTGCTGTCTGGACGATCTGAATCTGCAGTCAGGATATTCTTTTTCTGGTATGTGTAGCTCAAAGTGATGCAAGTCAGGTCAGGAAAATCCACTTCACAGTAGGTGGGAATTAATGCATTTAGTTTGTTACTTTCAAAATAATATGAAATAACTTTTGCTATCTTTTTTTGGTAATGTTTTTTTGTAAAATATTTTGAGTAAGTCAAAAGTACCAACCTGAAGTCACCTTTAAAGTTCTCACTGTAGCACAGAAGAGGAAAGCTAGTCCTTTGCCTCTTACTGCAAATGCAGCAATTAGAACTTCCCACAAACCATTACTATAGGAAGTTGCATGGTTTTTCAGCAGAGGATTGCAGCAGAAGTGTTCTTTGGGCTGTGCTGCAAGACACTTGCACTTCTAAAAATTATATACCTCAGAGAACTAAAAACTAATTTTTTTTACAACAATTGTGGTGTTTATATCACATCAAGATGAATGGAGACTGTCTTTCAATTACTGTTATTAACACATTTTGAGAAACTCTTTGAGTTCTCTTTCTGACTGCTTCCTTAAAAAAAGAGCAGGAGATTAAGGGTAGTGTGCAGACCTCAAGCAAGATGAGGTGTAGTTAGAGGCAAGATTACTTATTCCCACTGATTACTTGGAAGTAGGGAGGTTTCTGGGGTGAATGGGGCAAAATAGGGAAACTTCTAAGCAGCCAGCTTTTAAAATGGAAGCAATAAACTTCCAAGGTAAATGCAAGCTGAAGACAATTTTTAAAATCAGAAGTTGCTGTAATCTTGTGTTAAATTTTGAAGTTTGTTGCTTCTATCTCGATTCTGAGGGATCTCAAAAACTTGTCTCTCTTTTTTTCCTTTACCTACAAACTTTGCCATGACCTTTTTGATAGCATAGAGCAGCAGTGCTCTCATGATGGAGAAATCAGCATTTCGCTGGCTGTCCCTTAGTTAGCTGCAGCTCATTTCTCTTGCTGTATTCTAGAAATGCATGTTGAGTGGCTCATCAGTCTCCCTGGGTGATGATAGTGCTTCCCACTTAGGTAAGAACTGTGAAAGAGTTAAGGGAGTGAGAAGATAATGCTGTTCCAAACAAACTGCACTCACAGCCAAGTAATGTTCACATCAGATTTTCTGCAGTTTAGGAATGTGGGAGTGTGTCCCTAGACTTATCCAGTTGTTCACCAGCTGGAAGATGGATGTTTCTTAGCAATCTATGCACGATGTGATAACTGGAGAAGGCCTCTGGAAATACACCAAATAGGTGAGCACCTCAGAACAGCTGTAAAAGCTTTGAAGTTTACTGATGTCATCAAGGGTAATTTTCTCTGAGACAGTTCAGAAAAAGAATGCTAAAAGTTGTTCACAGTAACCTAGAGGTGAACTGAAAGCTATTGATGGAGGGGAGGAAAAGTTGCTGGAAAAACTGACGTCACAGTTACTTTAGGAATGTCTGTAGAATAGACTGTCTCTCTCACTTTTATTAAGAGAAGCTTTGTGATCTAAATCAGAATAATAAACTAAACATGTTTTTGTAATACAGAAAAACCTGGTCCATGTGGATGTTTTGGCTAGGTACACAATTAGAAGACACAGGACCTCCTTCTGAGGTCCAGCTGTGGTAAGACAAGTGGTCATATGTTCCTGCTGTTACAAGATCATTGGTGAAGTCCAGTGGTTTTAATTGCTCAAGACAATCCAGCTGTTCCTTGCTTAGAGCAGACTAGTGATTGCTCATGTTCACTGCTGTTGGGTATGGGAGATGCTGGCTTTTGGTGGGAAGTAATGCTGGGCAGCTGGGACTGATGGTCTTCAGGCAAGCCAGCTGGATCTAGATACCAGGTACCAGTACACCTGCACGGAAGCCAGGATTGCTGTCTCTGCACCAAGCTATGGATGGATGCTTACTTTGCAAACAGAAGTGACTGAAAGTGTCACTACTTTCCTTTTCCCCCAGAGCATCCCAGTGCTTTGAGTAAGCTCAGATTTTCCCCAGACAAAAATCAGATGGCTGATACTTCCAGTAAGTGGATTGATCTAGTTTAACTAACACTTTGCTGAAAGGAACTGAATATTTTTCAGTTCACTCAACCTGCAGCTGAGAAGGCAGCCCCTTGCAGAGGAGCACTGTTGAGCAGCAGTAGGTTGTAATGTTCTGAACTGCATCTTTATTGGGTAATTTATTACAGAAAATTATTGTGATATTTTAAAGTGCTCTAGCCCTAAGTGCTCTTTTAGAAAAAGGGATTGTGTAAAGATATCCCATCTGCTGTACTGCTGCTTGGCTCAAATTGCCTGCTGAAAGCTGTGCAGACCAGCTGCCCAAAAGTAGATGAGATGCACTGACACAATCCACTCAAATGGTCCAGCTGGAGGAGCAGTAACCTCTGGGGGGAGAACAAGCACCTGGACAGTCAGTCTTAAACCACTGCAACTGTTTCTTCTGTGAGTTTTGTAACTGTGGTACAGGGGGCTGTACTGTTACAGTGTACCTGTGTAGGTAAAGCAGTGCAGCTTTTGCTTGTTGCTGTAAAATCCAAGCTAGGTCTTGTTCTTCCCTGAAGAGTTAAATCCTCTTCAGTAGCAGGTACCTGATAAAAGCAAGGTCTCTCAGCCATTCAGTGGCATTGAATGTTCCAGCAATTCTAGTTCTTATGGCCCCTCTTCCTCAAGAGGGTTCTGCTGCTATGGAGACATGACAACAGTTTTTATATTTGAGTATTGTTTTAAGGAAAGCTGGCTTACTGTTCAGAACATCCAGTGCTGCATTGCTGCATTGAGTACTTGGATACTTCTTGTGGTTTTCATGGCTTAATTTTGCCCAGCTCTTTAATCTGCCATTATGATTATTATCATTTCCCTATTGCCGTAACATGTACAGAATATTTTCTTAGGTAATTTACATTTACTACAGTCAAGGCAGTGTTCAATTTTAAAATAGGTGAGATGTGCTTGGTAAACTGGAAGCAAATTGTTTGGGTCTAGGTGGAACTGGGAAAGGAAATGTGTTTGACTTGTTTGTATGCTTTGCATGTTTCTTTGGAAAGTAGCACATATTAAAGTTTTACAATTTAGTTGAAGTGTAAGTTACTAATTTATTTCTCTCCCCCTTCCTACTCCCCCCTCCTCACTCCCTGGCCTTCTCAATGCAATTTGTGAGTCTTCTAATTACCTAGTACATTTATACTCAATGTCTCAAATCTGGTGCAGTGGCCAGTTATCTAACATTAAACCTAGACACTAGAGTGATGAAAAGCAGAAGGGGGGAAATATTAAATAACAATCTGAATTACTAAATTTAGTTGTTTTCAATTAATTTTCACTTTAAGAGAAAACTTATTTTTATCAACTTTGCCTTATGTTGGTATGATACCTCCCCAACACCACTGTGCTGGTACTCTGCTTTCAAGACTACAGTCTGACTTTTTAAACTTCCAAGGTTGAGTGGGAGGAGAAGGAACTAGAACTTACAGAAGCCAGTGTGACAGATCTCATCCTTACTTCCCTGGACACGCAGTGGTTTCTCCTACTTCTCCTGGCATAGTCCTTAAATTGCTGTATCTGGCTCTGACATCACCTTGTATGAAGAAAAGATTAAGGTTAACTTTTCTCTGAAATGTAATTTTGCTTAAAAATTCTAAATTCAGGTGACAAGGAAATTCATCAAGGTGTGTACAGACTCCTGAATTTTAAGGGCTTTTTCACTAACAGTGTGCCCACAATCCTTTCCTGTCTTATTTTGTGTGATGGATGGATTTTCTTTTTCCTTTTTATTGTTATCCTCTTTTATGGTGGAGTGGCTGCAATATTACACTTTGAATGCATTTCATATCCATGATACCTGAACACGCTCTAAGATGGAAAATCCATTTATAAATGTGTTAAAAAGACACTTAAGCTGTTAATAGTACAGAAAACTGTCAGGCTTTTAATTCACTGGAGATGCTTTGGATCATGGAATTGCTATGCTAAATGGACAGGAAGATCTTTTAAAATAATTTTCTAGTGCAATACTGGTTTTAATTGTTTTAGATTTGTTGAGAATGCTCTGAAACTGTATGACATGCTAATATCTTGTCAGTGGTTTGTGTTGGTAAAGGAGGACTCTTGTAGAGGCAATGGAAGGATGTCTGAAGCAACATGAAATATATCAGAGGAAGAGTAACTATGGAGTACTTTTAAGTAGCTATGGGTTTGGATTTTGCAGCAGGGATGTTTTTTTAAGCTGTACTGGAAACATGTTGTTACTTGTGTTGCTCTTGAACAAGGAGTGGCTGGTAGGTCATTTTTGGTTTGGGAAACCAGAAGTGGGAATTTAAGATTTAATTGCTTTCTTAAGCAACTTTCTGGTGAAAACAGAGTCATTCTAAAGAATACAGCTGTTTCAGTAGGCTGGTAAATACAATTTAGAAAAAGCTGCAGCTTTTCTCAGCTATCTTGACTCTGAAAATGTGTGCTCCTTCCGAACCTATAGAAATGATTTCTGTTAATCACTTGGTTACAGTGCACTTCTCCTAGCCTTCCAGTGACCTTAGCTAATGAGGCTGTCCAAGACAGGAAGGAACAAATGCAGAATTCTGAGGCAGAAAGGGCAAAGGTGATGTTGCCTGAGGGTTTTTTATGTCTTCCTTTTTGTAGCATGTGTATTTAGCTTCCATACCCAAAGAAGCATTTTTTTCCTCAATATTAGATCTTTCCTAGCCATATTTCATCCCATACTGCTTGCTTTCTTCACAGTCGACTGAATGTCCTTCAGCAAACTGCTTCCAGTTGTCAGAAAAGCTATCTGTAATCCTAATGAGTTTATAGTCTTGGTTTTGGGAACAAACAAAACCATAACAAGGATATAGAAATATATTGGCCAGTCTGTTGGCTGCCCCTTTATGCCATGGTGCTTTTCCTTCCTTCTTTATAAAGCACCTTTTATCATTAGATTTCCTGGTTTTGGGGGTGCTATTTCAGACTTTTAGACACTCATTCATAAAGGTAAATCTTATGAGAACCATCTCTTCTGGCAGGTAAATTTGAAGAAAAGGAAGATAAAGTTCCAAAGTTGGAGCACTTAAATAACCTGGCATGCATGTGTAATGTGAATGCGGAATTGAACAAGAAAGATTTGCTTAGAATGGAAATGCTGCTTTTGGAAAACTTCAACTGGAACCTCTGTTTACCAACACCAGCACACTACATTGACTACTACCTCTATGTGTCCATTGGCGAGAATGACCTTCACAATGGCTGGCCCATCACCTCACTGACCAAAATCAAAGCTTTTCTGGAGAAATACGCATACTATTTCCTTGATTGCTCAGTGCAAGGTAAAGAGGCTCAGATTTGTGGTAATGATCTCCCATTTGGCAAAGGGCAGACATCTGAAAGAGAGAAGGGCTGTACAACTTTTCACAAAATGGACTGTACAAAATCATCTGTGCAGAACAGTTTCTCTATGCAGGTACTTCAGATGCCAAATGGTGTGGTGTCCTTGTCCTGTGCAGAAGTCTCATCTCTTTTCAGAAATCTCCAGCTGAGATCAATTTTTTTAGCAGCTTAGAACACTAATTGGAGAGACTTTGAAATGGGGTTGAATTTTTGATCTGCCACAGAGTATGAACTATTGTCTGCTGCAGATGTGTTCTTATGTAGTTCAATGTATTAATCTTTTTTAATGGTATTTTTTAGAAGGTCCTATGCTGCCAGACATGGCATATTTAGAATGATGGGAGTTTAAATAATTTGGTTTTCAGTATCACTTCCAATATCTGCTGACATGAGGGGCAGTAAACTGCAGCATCCTCACAAGCTGGTTTCAACACTAATATAAATGTGTGTGATTGTCAGTACCTAACTGTGATTCAGTTAAGACCAGTCCCCAAATTTCAGCAGAGTCTATTCTGTGGATTTTTCAGAAATGAAAGAAACTATAGTGAAACCTTGATAGTAGTTACAAACAAGTGGTACACAGACCTTCATCCATGTTTGAGAGACTTTCTGGTCATGAGTTAATAGTCTGAGAAGCATGGAACAAAGTTGGGGATTTAATTTTGTCCTGTTTTTCTATGTATACACATAATAGGCTCACTGCAGAATTAGTAACAATTTTTTAAATTATTTTTTTCTTTTGTAGATCACACTTTCCTTCATTTTCGCCCATCTCTGACTGCTGCAGCCTGTGTCTGTGCCTCACGGATCTGCATGCAGGTTTCTCCTGCCTGGACAGCACAGCTTGAATTGCTAACATGTTATTCCTGGGAACATCTTGCCCAATGCATTGAAATGATGCTCATGTAAGACCAGAAAAAAGAAAGTAACCTGTTTGTGCTCTTAGGAAGATGTTAATACACTTAAACATATATATATATATTTTATTTTATATATATAATTTTCCTGGGAACATCTTGCCCAATGCATTGAAATGATGCTCATGTAAGACCAGAAAAAAGAAAGTAACCTGTTTGTGCTCTTAGGAAGATGTTAATACTCTTAAACATATATATATATATATTATTTTATATATATATAATTATATATTTTATATTTTTATATATTTATATTTATATATTTATACATATGTTTAAGATAGGAAGCTACTACATTGGTGAAGTGCATTTTCAATTTGGGGGGAAAACAGTTTGTGAATAGTGTTAAAATACAGTATTAAAGCAATGTGCAGTGGAGTGCACAAGTTAATGTTCATTATGCTTGCTTGTACTGGTTGTCTGTGTGATTGAGTGGAAGCTTTTATAGATGCTTGGTAAGAGCTTTTTTCCCCTTTGTTTTCTCATTGTACTTAGAATATCCTTGCTGCAGAGACACTAGTGTATCTCAATGTTAAGAGACTACAGCAGGGAGACATTTTAGAACTGTTATTTGTTTTTTTCCAGTAAAGGGGGCATGATTGTCATGCATCAATACTGCTCTGGTATGTAAGCACATACAGTCTTCACAGAAAATGAGAAGTTTAATAGAATTATTTAGGTTGGGAGTGATGGTGGACCTTGGAGGTAACTTCTGAATTGCTGCTTGAAACAGGGCCAACTGAACCTAAATCAGACTGCTTGAGGTGTTGTCCAGTAAAGTTTTGAGTGCTTCCAAGGACAGAGACTTCCTAAACTCTGGGAAACTTGTACCAGTGCTTCATCATTTTCATGATGATTAAAAGTAAAATTAGTTTCTTCCTAATATCTAACAGGAATTCCCCTGTTGTAGCTATGCACTTTAATACTCTGCACAATACTTATTTAAAAATGTCTTTGTGCTGGGAATGTAAAGTTCCAAGATAACCAGTCCATCTGTAAAAACACACTTGTGATGCCAAAAAACCCATAAACCTGTTGTTAGTTTGTGAATATGACAGCAGGTTGATTATAACTGAATTGTGAAAGAACCTGAGGATTATTATATTCAGCTAGGGCTGAAAAGCTGAGAATGTAGCCTGACTGGTGAAATCTTTGGGATATATGCTCTGTGAACTTCTCAGTTTGATAAATCTTACTCATTTGTTTCAGGTATTATGAGAATGACATCAAAGAAGCCAGTAACATAAAAAAGCATGTAACAATTCAACACCAAGAACAGGAAGTAGTGGTGAATCTGAGCCATCAAGCCACGACTCAAGTTCTCTTCCAGCAATCTAGTTATCACCCTTTAGCCCAGCATTCAGCTACACATTCCCAGTTCCAGCCTCCAGTGCAAGATCTGTGCTCTGCTTATCGTGACTCTCTACAGGCCCCCAGGCCCAGCAGCCTGCTTGCTGGGAGTGCTGGCAGCTCACTGCTCTCCCACACAGCTCTCCAGACCAGCCTCCGGCCACCAGCTCAGCATCTGCCCATCCAAATGCCCATTGCTGTGCAGGTGGCCTTAGGAGCAGAGCCCAGACACTGCATTTCCATGGCTTATGGCAGTAGTTACTTCAGTGGTCATCACTCATATGCAGCTGGGTGCTTCGATGGGTAAATATTGACAGAGAAAAAGGTGATACGAATAGAAGTCGAAGAGGAGACCTTGTGTCTGATATGTGTATCTGAATGAAAACTGTGAAGGAACTGAATCCTTATGACTTGCTCATTCGAAGAATGTTGATATGGGTGCCTCTCTGCCAAGGATTGTACCTTTAGCTCTCAGAGAGAAATAATAATATACCTCAGTTGATGTCACTTTAAGAGGCATCTGCATATAAGCCCTGTGCAGATTACTTCCTTCTCATCAGTTAGTGACTTGTCAGATTTGGCTGAGAGCTTGTGTTGAAGAGTTATCTCAGGCTGGAATATTTGTTGAATTTTTTGCCAAGTAAGAACGTACGTAGAGGAAAACACAGAGTGCTTTCCTTCTCTCCCAGTAACATGTCACTTGAGCAGTGGCAGCTTATACTACTGGAAGCTTTTACTAAAATATACTGAAGTTGGTATCAGTTAAATGTGAACTTCATTTATGCAGAAATCTATGGGTAGAACACTTTCTGTTTTCTTTGAGCAGGAGTGATAGTTCAGGAGTAAGACTTCAGAATAAACAGAAAAAGAAGCAGGCCAGAAGACTAAGACTATCAAATAATTTTTTACTTAAAATTATCTTGTGATTTAAATGTGGTGCTGCTGAACAGAACTCTGTCTTAAAGTATTTTAGAAACAAATACAAAACATTGAGTCATCTCTTAGGTCTTTAACGTTCTGCTGCTTTTGAGACTGGGGATTATTGTTAGTAAAATTGTTCATGAGCTTTATCAGGGATGTAATGTTACTTGAAAAAATCCTCTTGGAAAAACTCCTGAAAGGTTCACTGCCTTCTGTTACTTCATGTTTTGGGTTCAATGACTTGTGGCAGTAGTTCAAGCTCAGGGCAGAGGAACTGGTGTTAATGGGTGCAAAGATAGAGAACTGGTTAATGTTACTGTGACATTAGAGTTTAATTGCAGTGCTAGACAATGCTGACTTAGCTTTTTTTAATACCATCTAGGCATTCTCTCAAAGTGTAGCTGGTAAATTGAAGATCATTGCTTTAAAATAAGACACACCAACTGTCATATATCCAAAGGTTTATTTTTCAACAGAAACCAGAGATAACAGTTTAAAAAAACTGTACAGGCTTTTGTTATGTTAATGTAGATATTTACAAGAAATGAGCTGCAAATGCAGAACTTTAGTTTTGACATATGCAACCACTATCCTAAGTATCTTTGAAGGCAGTGAGTGCTCTTGGTTTGTCTTTTCTCTAAGGATCTCAGGACAGCAACACAAGTAAAGTGCAATATGCTTTTACTGACTTGAGGCAGTTTTTTCAAGTCATGTGTAACAGTGCTGGTTTAAATTATATTTTTTAGAGAAGTGTTTTAAAGGGTGTTTTAGGGTGGAGGGAAAAATAAGCCTGCATGCTAACGTGTGTTTGTGTAACTGTCTTCTGAGACTGCAACTTTTGGTATCAAATTAATAATTCCTTCCATTATGCAAGTTAGAGCAGTCCTATTTTTTAAAAAAAATGCAAACTGTAAATGAAGAGGCAGTACTTCTCAGAAATTAGTCTAGAATTTTAGATAACTTAGTTAATCTGTTATTCTGTATGCTTTGTATTTATATTAAACTTTATTTTTAGAAGACTTCAGTATATTTTTTTATGTCCTTCCACAGATGTAAGAACAACATATATATATATATGGCAGTACTGTTGTGTGGATTTTCTTTTGTTTTTTATCACCCTTATAATTTGCATCATATGCAGTGTATGCTTTGGACCAACATTGTGCTTAGTTGTGAAAAATATTTGTTAAGTTCCCAATAAATAAGCACACAGCTTAAGTACTCATTTTGTTTAATGGTTTCTCCTTAGCTTTCAGGAGCTAACAAAGAATATTTGCCTATACCTTAAAAATACTCTATCTGAGCACTCAATGTTTTACAGAAAAGTTGTAAGACAAATGTGATGGAATAGCCTTGCCAAATTGTGAAGGACTAGACAGATCAGGAATTTGGTCAGTGCACAAGAATTAAGCTCCTATTCCAATAAAGTACTGGTGTATATAAGCAAGTACAAAGTAGGATGAGGAGATGGCCAAAGAAACATAAAATATGCAGAGACAAGGTAGGGACATAAAATAGTATCAGAACAGATTGTTCCAGCTCAGTGTCTTGCAGGTGTCATCTTACCTGAGGAGGTCAAAAAGCTCAATAGAACAATACAGTTGTGTGTTCAGGCTTTCTTCTGGTGACTGCATCTTCTAATCAGGAATTTCCATTGAGTTCTAGGTTCTCTTTGTGCTGTTGTATCATGGATGGAGTTGGGGCAGGTTAAGTCCTACAGCAGACTCTGAAAGGGAAAAGATTGATGAGAATTTGAGTTGACTTAATAGTGCTTTGATTGACAGTTCTTTCTAGAATGCTTTATATGTTGGTGGCAATTCTACACAATTGTTTTCCAGGGAAACACTTTTTTGTGTGACTTCTTGTCAATTGTGAAAACATCTGGAAGAGCTCATGTAGAAGAGAACCACCAAACTAAAGACACTTTTCTGAAGACTTTGGCACAATTCCTTTTGGAGGGGGCTGCAGAGGTGCCCACAAAGCTGAGTTAATTTTCATCAAATGGATGCAAAACTTCCCACTCTGTACTTGCGCTTTTTGATGCAGCATAGTTATAGATTAGAATGAACTCTTACTTCCCTGACAGACTTTGAAGTAAGAAAGGCTGCTGCAAAAGTGAATGCATACAAAATGGGGTATGGCAGTAGTTACCTTCTTACGTGGGAGGATGTTGCAGATGTAACCAAAAAAATAAGAATGTTGACATTAAAATAAAAAAAAAAAAATACTAGTAAGTCCTGATGAGCTGTAGCAGAAATACCAAGTGGAAAAGAGTCTGCTACTGTTGATCAGGTATCAAAGGTTAAAATGAACTTATTTTAACAAATGTTTACAACTGTGGCTTAACGCTTTTTAAAAAAGGAAAGGGAAACTACTACCATCTCCCTGTTTGTAAGAAAATCACAATTTGGTCTTTGAAAAGTTCTCAAAAACAGTTTAATAATTGTTGTGTTAGCAAGCTTTACACTCTGCAGTGAACAACAAAGTTGATGTGATGCTCTTTGATCAGTATAATGAACTCATGAGTAAAGTATACAGGTGTTGCTTAAGTTTTAGTTTAGTCGTATTTTTTATTGAGGTGTCTAGATACTAGCAAAGGTGAGCCAAATACTGATGAGTTCTTAGGGATAATTCTGCATGAGTTTCTAATTATTTTTTTCTCCATGGGGTGTTTATTTTTGCTCTTTGTACTGCCATTTCAAGACAAGCCTGAAGAATGTCCTCCAGCTGAAAAGACAGAAATACTTTTTTTCCAGTAAGAAAGCACCCCTTTACATGCTTTCTGGAGAGCCTAGATAAAAATAATCACCCTTCCTTTTAAAGAGTTGTCTGTATAATGGGTCACATGCAGATCACATGCAGAATGTATGATCAAAATGTACTAGTTGCACGACACTAAATGTAGTTGCTTCTATAACTGGAATTAGTGGTGGCTGCTTCAATTTTGTTTTCAAAGCAGGGAATCACCAGGTATCGGCACCAACACCTTCAGAGCAGGTTTTTGTGGGTGTGAATAGTTCAGACAGAACACCACCATCACTTAATTCTAGTATGAGCTTTAGTTTCGTGTAACCCTTGCCCAGTGTTTACTTGTGCCTAAACTCTACAGGTCATTCTCTATAGTTATATTTATTTTCTGTTGTGTTCAAGAAAACAGGTTTTCACACGTAAATAACTGGATTGCACTGACAAAATAAGATGCTCCAAGTTTTCCTGCAGGAGTCTGTAAAATCTTTAAATGTCTTCTGAGAATTTGGGTTGCGTGGAGATACTAATAACAAAAAAACCATGATAGTAGTATGAAAGCATATCTATCACTGATTGATAAACTGAATTTCTCTTGTTTTCAAGATCCTAAATTTGTCATCCAACCAGCAACAGGGCAAAAGACTTTGAACAGGTCTTGGATTTGATGTATGTGTTGGGCAGAGTATTGGCTTATTCTCTAGACAGAAGCTGAATAGAGTGCCTACTAAGTGGGTGGTAGACAACATATGAACACGCCAGGTACATTTTGTGTTCTGAAATACTGCAGCAGCAGCATTAAGTGCTTTGTTGCATTTTCTGAGTTTTGCATTCTGATTTTCTGAGTATTTGCCATATCTTTGGGAATTGGGGTATGCATTAATGTTGAGGATAACATTTCTCTGAAAAACAATTCTTCATGTTTGTAATACAAGAGGAAGGGAGTGAAAATAATTCTGTATTAAAGGAAAGAGGAAGAGAAAGAAAATCAGCATTATATTTTATTTGTATTTGTTTTTCAGTGCACTGGAAGAGACTGGCTTTAGTGCCTCAAGCAATCCTTTTGCTCGTTCTTTTGTAGACTACACCAGAAGAAGTAGAAATCTGGAATAAAAGCAAAGCAAAGATTTGGTTGAACAGTGTAATTAGAACTTCAGTGTCACAAATGAAAAGATCTGTGGACTGACTCACAGAACCTGTCCTTGACTGAACCAAAATTTATCCTTTGGTAGAAGCAGCATTTAGGAAATAAACTGAATGTCCCTGTCAACTTGGAAATACACAGAGCAAATATTCTTACACAAAAGCACATCTTCTTTACGGGTAGCTTCAATGTATCCCATATAAAACATGGCTTCACCAACTCCAAGTTATCAGTGTTCTAGACAAGTGAGATAATTGTTCTCCAAAATAAATAAATTATAGCCACTATAATTCTCAGAGAGGGAGTGTCCTTGTTTTGATTCACAGTGTAACTTTCAGTTAGTCTCTGTTGAAGATGCACTCAGACATAAGTCAGTTCAGGGAAGTTTTTGAAACTCAAAACCCATGATGTTTGGCAATCCTATCTGCTTTACCAATTTTATTGGAAGTATTGTAGTTTCAGTAATCTTGCAAAGCTTGATAACACACGATATTACTTGAAATCCAACTTCTTTTGTTGTGGTTTTTTTTCCTGTGGTAAGACTAAGGAAATAGGGTTTTTACAGAAATGCTGTGAGGACTGACAGCTAGATAGTTTTCTAAGAATGAAAAATAAGTTAATAACTTTAAAGAACCATGTAAGTAGTAGGTAAAAAGTTTATTTTCTATTCTTGAGGCATAAGCACAGTGAACACAAAGACAGGTAACTGGGGAATATTTCAGACTGAACATTCCAGTCTTCCAGCTATAAAACTGTGGTTAAACTGAGGATGCAAGATCTACATGTCAAATTTTTCAGAAATACATGATTAAAAGTTCCTTCATTTATTTTTTTGCATCAAAGTGTAGACTATTACCCAGAGTGATGGCTGAAAGTTATTTAATAGTTTTCCTTTACTTTAAAAGACATTTTTCTAATCTCAAAATTTTAAGCCTGCTACTCTAGACGTTTTGGTTTTTTTTTTTATAAACAAATCTGGGTATTTGAGAACTCACCTCTACTAGCTTTCCTCCAGCAATCTCTGCAGTATGACGATAGTTGGGGAAATCAGCTACAATTTTCCCATCTTCCATTTTAACAGTTGCCTGTTACAGAGTACAGGTTAATGAGTAACAGAGGAAGGTTTCATGCTCCCTGGGGTTACTGGCATTTATATTATTGTTTTGACAGTAAAGTAAAAGGCATGATTGAGATAATTTTGAAATGGCATTCTCAGGTTCTAATAACCTGCCTGCAAGCAGCACAGAAGTTGCTGTGGCCAAGCAATGTGAATCTTTACCCTAGATCCTGCATTTCCTACCTCTCAACTACACTAGAAATCATCTCTCAAGTATAGGTGAACACAACTGCACAGTCTGTAGTCACACCCTTAGGCTGTAACACATACCAGCTGCTCTAAGAGCTGCTTCTGTATGGAGGAGGTATGTCAGATGCTGCTGCGAAGATCAGAGATGTTACAGCACCTCAGCTCACCGCCAAAAGAAGATAAGTAGCTTGGTCACAAAATCAGTCATGTCTGTGTAACTAGTCAGTCTTGCCCCTGCTTTTACTAAGATAGATGAGCCAGCCACAGTTAGAGGAGAAAAAAACTAATTTGTAAAATGAAGAGTTGAGTGGCCATTTTTTACCAGATATAAGGAAACAATCTTACTGGCTCATGTATTGTTCTGTAACACTGTTCTAAAAGGCAATGGTTTCTCTGCTGAGATTTGTTCCGTCTGCCTCCATCTTTGGCTACTTAATAGGCTTTGGACTGCTAAAATGCCCAGGGCAAAAAGAAGATAATTTTGTAGTATTTCAAAATTGTTAAGCTTGCAACAAATTTACCAAGTAGAATTATGTCTTAACCTATCTGTTAGATTTCACAAAAATTTACCAAAGCATGTTGGTTTGTTTTTTTCTTCTCATGATCAGAAAGATATGACTAAAAGAGCATTCTGGAAGTCATGCAGTGTTCTTCCTATTCTTTTGCCACAGCTCCCTGATGCAATTGCTGTTTTTCTGTTTCTTCACTACATATAAAGCATTTGTCTAGTAATATATTGCAGGGTTCCAGACACCTCACAAATGCAAAGTCTAAATGTCCCAAACTGTGTTATTCCCTTAAATAGATGGAAAATAAGGTAAGTAAAGTAACCATTCAATAGTAGGTTTTTGGATCAAGATTTTGTCAATGATAGGAACAGATCAATACTGTGTAATCTTCCTAGAGGCTGCTTAGGTTGCAAGTTGCTCTGTACTTCTAACAAGGAGGATACAAAGGTACTTTGGTTTCTTCTCCCCCTTTTACTTTACACAGTCTTTTGTTTGAGGCTCAGGTACAGGTGACTTTAAAAGGTGAGGGCAACTGACAGGCATAGACAGTCAGTGATCATAGCTCTCCCCTCGGAGTGTCCTGCTGTTCCTGTATGGTGCTAGACAACAACAACAGCTGCCAATCAGCTCTTTAGAGTTACAGTGAGCATTATGTTTGCTTGAGGTGCAACACCAGTAGGTGCTTGACACTGTGTTCTCAATTAGTACATGCAGTTCTGAAGCTCTAGCTCTTTAAAAACATATTTAGGGGAAAACATTTATGTTTCGATGCTATGACAGATGAAAAAAATTATTTAAGGAAGACGATTTGATTTTCACCTACAATTAAAAACAACTGAGATGGTGTAGAACTTAAGAGCTAAATTAATTTACCTTGAACTTTTTACCACCCATTGTCTCCATGTCTGCTTCTTTCCCAATTGTGAACGAGTTGGTTGTAGTGCGGCCTCCTGGGAAATGCTGTGTCCAGGTGAAGTCATTTCCATTCTGCACCACTTCAGTGACTATTTTGCAATTTCTTCCCATTTCAATCTTGTCACTGGAGAGACCTTAATCAACAGAAACATAGTTTATCAAATGGAATAGCCTACCAGCTGTATTTGAACTGGAGCTTGCTAATGGTATGTCTTCTTGTCAGACACTGACATCTGAGCATCTGATTTGTTTGGGTTTTGTTTCATTTTTTGCTGTGTTTGTTTGTTGTTGTTTTTTATAGCAGTACCAAAGCTCTGAGTTGAAATTATGATATAAAGGAAAATAAAGGTACATCAATTCATTTGCTAAAATAGCAAGTTTTAGTCTTGCATTCTTTTCCCTGAGAAATGATACACAGAATAAATTTATAGATAGAAAAAATGTAAATATTCCCTTCTACTTAATCTGTACATCTAGATCTCTGGAATTTAATGTGTATGAACTTGTGCCTTTGCTACATAGCTGTACATGTATCTGTTATTTGCTATTGCTTTTGAAATAAATTAACACAAGCACTGAAGCTGTGTGCACAGATCATAGCATCCCTAAGAGCTTTTATGGGGTGATCTCTGAAAAAGTTTTGTACAGTCTTCTGAAAGCATTCACAGAAACATGTTCCTCTGTAAGACTTTGACAAGCATTTTCATAATAAATTTGTATGCCCATCAATGAATACTAAGGACAGAAAATGTGAATTTCATTATCATATTGCAAATATCTTGGCCCTTAATTTATTTCCACTGAAAAGGAATACTGCTTCTGTGGAACAGGCTTATTTCCTGTGGCTGACAGTGCTGCTTCCAAGAATGAAAACTGAAACTCTGCTGAAGTGCAAAGCAGTCTTGGGCCCTGTTAATCTCAGCACTTTCCTGTAAAAAGCCCCATTTTTTTAGAAGTATTTTTGACAAATTTATAACGTTTGAGACTCACACCACAAGACTACTTACCAATCTTCTTCACAAATTCATCATAGTTCTCATCGCCTTCAAATTCGTATTTGCCTGCGAATGCCATGTTGCCCTGGTGATGTGGCTGGTGGGGCAGAACAGCAGCTGGAACAAAGAAGAATGGATAAGTGCAGATAACTTGAGGCCCTTGTTTTTATAAACCAGCCCAAGCTATTCAGCCCACCTATACCCACAGCCCTTGGAAATACACTTTTATGATCTATATGAGTCACTAGCATGGATGCCATTGACCTGTATGAAAATCAAGGTTATGATTAAATTACATATGCCTGACAATAAACTTGAGATCAGCAGAAATCAAGGACAAAAGCTTGGTTTTCATTTTAATGCATATTTAAACAAAGTGATATATTTCTACTTTCAAGATTCCACTGGTTTTGCATTGGTAAAACATGTTATAATGAAACGGGGGAAAATCAGCCTCAAAGCAATGTCCTGAGATTACAGCCTTGCTCTGTTTGGAATCATACTCTATATTAGTTAAAATATGAAAATAAAAAACAAGTTGCATAGATTCCTAAGTAATTCTGATAGGAGATGAACAATTACAAGATTTGGGATAAATTAATGCACTGGCACGTGTCCTTCCTTATGTCCACAGAGAAAAAAAGAATAATGAAACATTTTACACTACTTAGATGTAAGGTACAATGGATTAGTTGGTGGCACCATGTTCCCATACCTTATTTAATATCAAGGAACAAATAGTGCTTTCTATTGCTTAGCAAATGTTTGCACAAAGTTAAAAAAACCCAACACTTATTTTGGAAAAACAGCTCTGATTTACGTAAGATAACCATATGTTAAAAGTCAGGGAAGTCTGCTGGGTAATTTAGAATGCATAGAGGAGATGTGTCCTATGCCTAATGAATCCATTGCCACACACAGATAGCAGGGTAGGAAATCCCCAGCTGCTCTGTATTGGCATAGCTCCACTAGCTGAGGATACAGAGCAACAATTTTTAATCTGAAGAAAAACTTTCCTAGGTTTTATATGAAAATTGTATCGTAGATTGGAATCCTGTTTTACTTAATTAAAGTAATAAATTTGAGAAGGAACCGAAAAATCCACTTTTCTCCAGTTTTATAAAAGTCTGGAGAAATATATGAAACTGTTCATCAAGTTTAGCTCTATATAAAGTGGATTCCATTTCTTAAATGAAATTAGTTTAATCCCACATGATAATGCAACATGACTCTATTTAATGTCAAGAAACTGAACAGAAGAACAGAAACATGGAAAAAACACAGAAAACAAAAGGTCCACTAAACTTCACCTCTGGTCTCCTTAGTACACTTTCAAACTGATGTATTCTATGTAACCATTCTGTATTTCTAATTAATAGACTTATCCATATTCACACACAGTGTCAGAGAACAAACTAAAGTTCAGTAATAGGATGGAACTTCAGGAAAATGTTAAATATCATAGATCACAGTAAGCCATTACTGTAAAACTATACAAATCCAAAGCATTGCCACATCTAACAGTTTTGTCTTTCAGTTAACACAGTCAAGTTGTACACTCAGCCTGTGCTCTAAATCCTGCCCATTGTAGAGTGTTGTGTAGTGTGCAAAGTGTTCTATTTGGTTGGGACAGAACAGTGCCTCTCAGTGAACCCTGACTCCTGTGGGTTCTCTCTTGCATGGTCACCAACTGGCTGTGTCTTGATGTAGCCTCACAGATTGGGGACTGGATGAAGAGAATGTCATACCAGTGTGAAATTCAAGAGGAGCTAGAAATAGCCCATACCCAACCACTTCATCATAGCATACCAGTGTGCACAATAATTCCTTAAATTAGTATCTGTTGAGGGAGGATGTTAAGGTTTTATTAAATGTATTTGCTATATATACATATATATTTAATAGCATATTAATGATCATGGCATGTTACAACTCAATTTTAAAAATCCTCTCTAATTTTTTTATTTATTCATTTTTTTTACTTACTAATCTGCTTCATTTTATGCAAAGCCTCTGCTGTGTGTGAGTTATCCAGCCTTTAAATCAACTACAGAACACACAGGGCACATGAGGTCTGAACAAGAAAATATGTCCTGATTTAGGAAAATTTTTGCAATTTCAGAACTTTTTCTTAGAGGGGTAAAATGAGAGGGATTCCGGAATAACACACAGAGTGATGGCTGAAAAGTCTGAGTCAGACAAGAAGGGACTTCTAATAGAGAATCATTTTCTGACCAGGAAAATCTTTAGAAAATTCCAAGTCAGTTTTGTGAGAGATTACACCTGTGGACTGAAAAAGATCTTTCTTCATATGTATTAGTTGGGAATTTATATTATTTTGGGGTTGTTGTTTTTTCCCTACTTCCTCTTCTGAAGTCTGAGAGAAAGTAACTTCAAAATCTTACATCTTCTTATGAAAGAAAACAGAAAACTTTCAAATGGAGATGTGACTTTTGAAGTTGACAACAATCCTTTTAAAACTATTTGTTTGGGTGTATGTTCCTGGCACCAAAGCAGTTTTCTGGAACAGATGCAGAAAGTAAACAGGAGTGAAGCATAACAAAATCATAGTGAATTTGTAAAATAAAAATAGAACAAATGTCCCAGGAATTACTGCCTTCCCACCCCTAACCTTTCACTCTCCCCATATTTACTCAGCTTTAAATTGTTCCATGCTGTGCACTGCCTGACTACATTGTGCTGAAGTTCATGATGCCACAAAAGCTATACCATCTGCTGTCTGCAGGCAATTAAAAGGATGTTTCCATACTTGAAATAGAAGAGAGCCATACACCTTCCCTCTGAACATTTTCCACATCCTGTGATTAGAATTCAAAACAGCAGTGTGGGAGAAAAGCATGAAACTGGGGTTTCTGTATCAGTTATAAATTTGTAAGATTCAGTGAAGGAACAGAGAAACTTGTTTTCCTCTGCATTTTTTATTTAAGTGTCTGTAAAATTATTCTGACTGTTCTGCAGCCATATTTGACATTTAGGTTTTTTTTAAATTAGAACTCCTTCAGCTTAATCCCAAGATTGCTGAACTCAATGACCAATTCTGCAGGAGGAGACAACTGAAAAGAAAACTTTCTTTATCAGCTGAACCCAGATGCTTAGGCCCTATCTGTATAAAGAAAAACAGCATTAGTTCAGAAAACAATGAAGTGGTTGCACAAACTTAGAAGCCTCAGTTCTTATTGCTGTGGTAGAACTAAGTAGATACCAGGTAAACTAAAACAGAGACAAAACCTCTAGTAATTTCACTCATACACAGATTTGAAAATACCATTTAAAGGAACTTTCACCAAGAATATTTTGTATATTAGAAAACTGAAACACTAAGAACAAGTGATCTACCGGATCTTATGATACAGTGAATTGATGATGCAGCCAGTAAGAAATTCTAAGTTCAGGTATTAACCAAGTGTCCACAGGATAGCACATTAATTTAAATATTCTTATAATGACAAGTTCTTACAAGCAAACAAGGAGATCTCTGAACAACCAATTACTTTCAGTCACCCAGGGAATTTTACACTTGCTCCACTGCTAGGCTGTGAGAATCTTTACAGCTGCTTGGCACAACTGGCTGAACAATGCCCTGGTTAAGACTCTTGCTGTCTCCATGTGGCCCCATGTACATACTGTATACATCTACTGAAAGGTATCCAGCATCCAGCCCCAAATGTGCTTTTGGAGAGTGGGTGACAGGCAAGACTGTCCTCAGGTTAGCTGAGTCCTGAAGGCCTCTGTCTTGCACTAGGCTCTGAGTCCCAGAGAGACATGCATAACCTTGTGAAGAAGGTAAATGAACTCAAGCCATAAAATCTTCTGTTCTCATAAAACTTACTGGGGGACAATGCCACTGGTGTAGTAACATCACATGGACCTTGAAAGATAGATCAAACTGGATAAGAAAAATGCCACAGTTCTGTGAAACAAGAAAAAGATTATCAGACTGTATGAGCAGTACTTGAGTTTTTATGTTCTCTCCCTTTCTATAAAGATCAAAATCTATCGATAGATCTCTTGAGATATGATAACAAAATGCTGACATCAACACAACCACACAATTCTTAGAGCTTGCCAGCAGTGGGAAAGTGGTAGGCATAGAGCCAGTGTGTGGTACAGTAAATTACCAATGAATAACTATTTGACTGGGTGGGTCACTCTTGCCACAGACTAAGTATGAGTTCATTCACCGAGAGCTCCAGAGCAGGTTACAAACATCCATCCAAACAGTAAAGGTAAGACTACACAGTGGTAACAAATGTTCTTGCTCTGCCTGGCTGCTCAGGATGAGAATCAGTTTAGAACAAGTATTGAACAAACATGCCATCATCTGTTCCTGTTTTTGCAGAGGAGTTTTTAATGTGCATTGTGAATCTGCACCCATGTTTCTGCTCACTTATTCTAAAATAAATCCTCATTTTCATTCTTGCCTTATTTTGGTTACAAAATGTAATGGAATTTAATAGTGCATTGGAGAATAAAGAATGTCATGAAGTAATATTCCACTTACTGAATAAGGACAATGTTTATTTCAAGAATAAAGGAATGGAGGACCTCTGACTTTACTGAAGTTACAGTCACTTGCACAATTCCTAAGGTTAGTCATCCAAGTCCCTATCTCTTCAGTTTCAGCTAAAACCTGTATCCATTATTGACTTCACACTTTGCATTTACAGTGTTTGTGATTTTCCTGCCTCTTCAGAACTGTTAGCATGTAATATCTCTTTTGCATACCTCTACTGCAGTGGCTCATCCTTAGTGGGCTAGGCATTGAACTAAATGGTGCAAAGAACTCCAGAACTATTCAGTAAAAAATGAGAATAAATTAGAACAAAGGTATTTATGTCTATGTGTATATATATATATATTTAAATACTTATTCTTAATACTTTCTATCTACTACAATGTAGAGCCTGCTGCAAACAACCTTGGTTATGTTGTACTTCTGCTTAACATAACTCAGTTCAAACTAAATTAACAGCTATAACTGAGATGAGTGGAATAGTGAAAGATATTTCCCTGGCACAAGGTGAGAATCCTAACAGAGAAAGGGAAACAAATAAAAAGCTCCTGGTGTAAAAACTGAAAACAGCTTTCAGAAAGTGGCCACTATCCTCA